TCTAAGTGTCCTTCAGTCATCCCAAATCTGCCCATCACCAACATAAAAGGAGGAACCTATTAAGTAAAAGAACTGCAGTTTATATCTTACAGAAAATGAACACATTTTTGTCAAAAAAAATTCTGCATCACGTACAATTGCCTTTCAATATAAAGATGAACTGTGAACAATAACAAAGTTGTGGTAAACGAACTGTTGTAAGCAACGCGTTTCTGTATACTAAGTGAAAAACAGGTCTCTTTGTGTCAGTCACCTTGGCAAAGCTTTGTCTAAACTTGCTTTGTACATACCGTAGTCACTATTGAAGGTCTTCTGTAAAGAGTGTCTGAAAATGTATTACTGTATATTTTCTCCTCGGGACAATTATCTGTTTTCTTGAACAAGGGTTTAAAAAAAAGAACATGGTTACAGTGCGAACATCTCAGATGTGTGTTTCTAAACAAATGGTGTAATATCTGTAGTTTTGAAGCATGTGGACAATATCTGTGACTTTCTCAAGACCTAGAAGGGCAGGGCTTGCCACTAATGTCTGCTAATGCATAGAAGTTCTAATTACCGAATATTCTGGTGTATAAGACTATTTTTTAACCCAAGAAAATATTCTCAAAAGTCAGGGGTTGTCTTATACGTGGGAGTCGTCTTATACACAGGAGTCGTCAGGCCCATAGCCAGGATTTCGATTGGGGGGGGGCTGAGTTTGTTTGGGGGGGGGGGCTGAGTCTGAGTGAAAGAGGGTCTACCCTAGCAACCCTTTTGTATCGTTACCCCAATACCCCCATGCATATGGGATATATTGAGTATGGTGATCAGATCATGATATGAATAAACATAACAGTTTAAATAATGCACCAGTAAGGCCTTCTTGAACCACCATGAGAATTTCGGGGGGGGGGGGCTGAAGCCCCTCAAGCCCCCCCCCCCCCGGCTACATGCCTGGGAGTCATCTTATACACAGGAGTCGTCTTATATGTGGGAGTAGCCTTATGCATGGGAGTCATCTTATATGCGAGAGTAGCCTTATACGCCGGGAGTTGTCTTATAGAGCAAGTGCTGAAACTTCCAATCCGGATTGGAGAATCTGTGGTTGCTGCATATTGTGTTGGGAGCTCAAAAATGGCAGTAGCAGCGTCCCTGCCGTATGCAGCGATTGTATGAAAGCATTAAGGGCAACACTGTACAACTACGGTAGAAGAAAATCCATTCATCTGGATTCATGGACTTAATGCAATCTCATGGTGAGGTGAAGGGGCGCCTCACCGGGAAGGTGTAAGTGAAGGGCGGAGCAAGCTGCAGGCGTCCGGGGCGCCCGGGGTATGGAAAAAAGAGATAGAGTGGCTCTGGGCCCAGAAAAACACCTCTTTTACCTGTCTGGCCCGCCCTTGTATCCTATTACCGTACCTCCTCCTCTGCCTCTCAGATCTCGCTCCTGAAGACTGGAGTGAAGTGGTGCAGGTGCATGTGCGAGATCTGAGAGGCAGAGAAGGAGGTACAGTAATAGGAAAATTACCATATTGAAATCAAATCTGATGCTTTTAAAATTTTTATTTGGTGTGTGTTGGAAGAGGGGTAGTCTTATACGGCGAGTATATCCCAAACTATATTTTAACTGGAAAAGTTGGGGGTCGTCTTATACACCCAGTCGTCTTATATGCCGGAATATACGGTACTTATGAATGTAGCTTCAACAGTTGAGAGGGGGGAAGACTAGAATTATATCATCAATCTTTTTTCATCGACACACCACATATTTAAAACCCTACTTGATCTGCCATGGATAGGTTTTCTTAGCACAATTAAGGCTGTAGTAATGAGAGAACATCGTTTCTGTTTCCATGAAATTCCAGCGCTCGTCTACACCAACTACTTAAGATGAATCTTCATGTAGCTATGTAAACCATTATATGTCCTGTGTACTATCTTACATGAAAATAGAGGTTCCTGAGTTTAATTTCCCTGAAGGAAAAAAATGTTTGCTATTTTTTGTTCTGCTTAGGAAAGAACATTTTTTAACTATTTCGACAGCATCAAGGTGAGAGGGACAGAGGATTTCAAAGGAATTAAAATTAATGTAAGTGCACAATTCAGGATAGAAACTATACCACTCTGCATAAGAATACACAGCATTTAATAACTATCTGAACATAGGCAATTATTTCATTCAGTTCAGTGTGATTGTCTAATGGGCAAGAGCAGTCCAAGTTCTTGCACAGAGATTATCCTACATAGAATTCTATGTGGTCTGATGTGGATTTACCAAACAGTACAAGTAAGCTAGAAAACAAAAACAAACCTCACCCCTGATCATTTTATAGACATTTTGAAATGTATTTCAGGGGCATTTGAGAAAGACAGAGGACTTTTCTCTACCTGCCTATGGAATTTGGATTCCTGCGGAACACATACGGTATATACTCATGTAAAAGTTGACCTCATGTATAAGTTGGGAGAAGTTTTGGGGCCCAACTTATTGATTTGATATGATCCATGGATAAATCGATGGTCATTCTGCAGAGAGGGGAAAGCACTAACACCACTCATAGCCACTACCACCATTTCCTTGCCTAGGTATTCAAAAAGGACAGAAGTGGTGAACAAGTTGGAGTTTCCTTTAAAGTTTCCCCAGAACATTACAATTCTTTCCCTTTGACACTTTTCCTCAGAGAAGGAGATAGTTCCTTTTATATAAGAAATAGTCGCCGGCCCACCTGCCACACGTTGCTGCGGCCCAGTCTAGTGATCTGGAAAATGAAGTAATGAAAAAGTGTTGGTTTCTAATACATGTAATTTCTTTATGCTTTTGGGAAAACAGTATTTCTTGTTATTTCTTTGAAAGTGATGATGTTGAGATTGTCTGCTTTGCTTATTCTGGAACATGCAACATATAATTGTCCTTCTTTAGGAGGGAACATTAGGAAGAACTTCCTGACTGTGAGAGCTGTTCAGAAGTGGAACTCTCTGCCCCGGAGTGTGGTGGAGGCTCCTTCTTTGGAGGCTTTTAAATAGAGGCTGGATGGCCATCTGTCAGGGGTGCTTTGAATGCAATTTTCCTGCTTCTTGGCAGGGGGCTGGACTGGATGGCCCATGAGGTCTCTTCGAACTCTGATTCTATGATAGGGGTTCATATAAAATCTATGAAACTATATCTGTCATATATGTGTGTGTGTGTGAATCATAGCTATCTATATCTCTGATTGGATGGCTCTTTGTCAGGAGGGCTTTGATTATGTTTTCATGTCCTGATGAAGGGAGTTGGACTGGATGGGCTTAAGGCAGCATTTCTCAACCTGGGGGTTGGGACCCCTGTGGGGTTGTGAGGGGGTGTCAGAAGGGTCACCAAAGACAATCAGAAAACAGTATTTTGTGTTGGTCATGGGGGTTCTGTGTGGGAAGCTTGGCCCAACTCTATCGTTGGTGAGGTTCAGAATGCTCTTTGATGGTAGGTGAATGATAAGTCCCACTAACTACAACTCCCAAATGTCAAGGTCTATTTTCCCCAAACTCCATCTGTGTTCATATTTGGGCATATGGAATATTTGTGCCAAGTGTGGTCTAGATCCTTCATTGTGCCAAGTGTCTAGATCCTTCAACCCTAGGTGAAGTACAACTCCCAAACTCAAGGTCAATGCCCACCAAACCCTTCAAGTGTTTTCTGTTGATCATGGGAGTTTTGTGTGCCAAGTTTGGTTCAATTCCATCATTGGTGGAATTCAGAATACTCTTTGATTTTAGGTTAACTATAAATCCCAGCAACTACAACTCCCAAATGACAAAATCAATTTTTTGAGTGATGGTCACTCCTTGGGTTAGTAGGTGTCTTGTGGCCAAATTTGGTGGCAATCAGTCCAATGGTTTTTAAGTTATGATGTCACTCAAAATGAACAAACCATTTTTAATATATAGAAAATGTACAGCACTTACACTGACCCGTAGATGTCAACCAGTTGTTTGGGATGATTTTTAACTAAAATGTCTAGACTTATACATGAGTATATAGGGTACGTGCCACATCTATGAAACTACTACTATTATATGAGGCTAACTTCATCATCTAAGAGATATTCATACTGGAAATACGGACACTTGGACTAATACCCAGAGAACTGAGTGGCCCTCAACTTTGCAGTGGGTAGCCATCCATGGTTTATAGCAGTGGTTCTCAACCTGGGGTCCCCAGATGTTTTTGGCCTTCAACTCCCAGAAATTCTAACAGCGGGTAAACTGGCTGGGATTTCTGGGAGTTGTAGGCCAAAAACATCTGGGGACCCCAGGTTGAGAAACACTGGTTTATAGCATAACGCCTCCCATTCTCCTAAGAGACTTTACAAAAAAATCTAGAAGTAATTTGCTTGTCGAACAAAACCAAATAGCTATAGATTTTACTATGGGAACTAAAACTATATTTCCATGTTTATTACATTAATCTTTGATGCGAAGTACAGCATGACTATTTAAATATAAGATTTAGGTGATGAATACTTACTCAGATAAGGAGGTTAAGAAGGAATGTAAAACTAGAGAAAGTTCTGTTTCCGGATTGATTTTTTGGCAAACAATAAAATACATATCAAATCTTCCAAGACTGATTTTTTGCTATTAAAAGATCTTGTACCCATGTCATGAACATTCCTCTGAGAAAAAAAAATACCCCTAAATTCTTATTTATTTATTTATTTATTTATTTATTTATTTCGGTCATTTCTATCCCGCCCTTCTCACCCCCTAGGGGGGGAATTTTATGTTAAATATAGATTACAAATAAATTATTTTTAGACTAAACACAAAAAGCCTCCCAACTAGTAGTACTGTACTTTTATGGTGAAAGCTAAAGATATCAATTTCCACCATCCTACTTGTTTAAAGCAAACACAATCAATACTGCTTATCTCTACACGGAACAGTTAGGATATTTAAGATTCAAGCTTTGTAGAGTTAGTTGTTTTTGATACCAAACTACTTGATTTCAGGTGCTAAAGATTCTTTAACAAGAAGAGGCAAAGAAATTCATAGAGAGTTTTAATTTGCTTTCACTCCCCAGAAATATCTAGAACCCATAACATTCATGTCAGGGAATTCATAGTGCATAACAGCTTTTTTCCCCAAAGCCTTCACATACAGAAATATAAATTAAGAAAAAATATCTTACTAGACTTTGTGATACTGCTGCTTCTCAGACAGTTCTTAGTACATTGTGTGGAACAGGTAAAAAGCCTTGCTGAATTTTAACCTGAAGACAAGCCTATTGTGTTTATCAGGAAAAGGATATCCACAATGTGAATTCTGTGCATAACCATCACTACTTAAATTATTCAAACCACTGCTTTTGATCATAATACATTCATTCTGTGAATAATCACATAAAACAGCAGAACCCCATTAAACAAATTAAACAATTAAGACTGGAAACATGTGGCTTACCACATCTGGACAACTGAATACGTTTCATTGCAGAACATTGAAATATGGCTTTTTAACACTTTTAGAAACATATTAACTTGGTTTACTCCTTTTGTTAGAGTTCTTCGGAACCATTCCCAAGATAATTGTTTAAACCCACCTTATATCCCACCTACCCCTTTATATAGCTAATGAACAAAACATACTGCCTCCTCTAAAAAGGCTGACAAGGTCCTTGTCTTCTAGCAACCATCCTGAAATACGCCTGTACACCTGAGAACTCGATGCAGCCTGTCAAGTCATTCACTAACCAACTTGCTCTTTAGTAAGCACACTTCAGTAAAAAGTGAATCAAGTGCAGTCATGGACAAAGTACCTTCATTACTCTTGACGTTTTTAAAATAGCTAACTTCTGCATAGTGTCCCCTATAGGGGAGGCTACCAATGTAAAAGGTGTTTGGCTAGTAGAATGTTTTATTAAAGTCGTTTAACAAAAAAAAAATAGGTAAGACGTCTATACAATTTAACATCAAATTTGACAAAAAGGCAAACTCAATGACCAAAATACAAAAAAGGTAAAAAGTGCACTAATCAGTCAAATCTTTTGTTTTGAAATTTGTCACAATATATGGAAAAATAAACCCAGAAGTGTTTTTCTTTTAATATACCACTTCCATTCCTGTCCATATTTTACATATACATACTCTGCAGCAGAAGGGAATTCTTTATTTTTACAACCAACTCTTCTGTACGTTTGTTCGGAAATGAGTCCCATTGGTTGGAATGGGATTTATACCCAGGTGGACACACACCATAATGGAGCCTTGGCTCTTGGAATATAAACAAACACTTGACAATGCTTGCTGCAATAAAAAGTCCATCCGCATTTGGCATTACATTTATATATCTTGCTTTCTAGCAAGACCAATGCATTTATATACTCTGATTTATAGAACCTCACTATTACAGAAAGAACAGAAGTTTACCTGTCAAACAACAGATAACTATCAAATGACAAGACCACTGTCAACGACAAGCTATTTGTCAAATGACAGATAAATACAATGAACAATGAGGTTTGTTCTTCTGTGGGACGTGAGGAAATAATCCTGATTAAAACTTCCAAATACTACAGTTTTCACAATAAAACTTAAGGCCGTGTTTTATTTGCTGATAAATGGACACAAAGGCAATGAATTCCCATTCCCCAAATATTTCTTGAAAGTCTGTGCTCATAAAAATCATGAAAAGTTGGAAAGACGTAATTATTGAAACTTTAAATATATTTTACACAATCTTATTTGTACAAAAATACAAGTTAAATATAAACATAAAGCAATGATACTTTTATGCAAATCTGTTTTGTGGTATGCTACTATATATATATAAAAAGTCTCAGCTCAGTCTCATTAATAAGGAGATCAATACCAGATTGAATCGCTACTGGCAAAGGGTCCCTAAAAGCACACTATTTTAAATTGCAATTATTTCCTCAATTTAATCTCTTTGAAAGACAAAAAGGAAAAAAAAAAAAGAAAAGAAAGGGCACTGATGTCCATAAACCAACAAATAATTTGGCTATAATGTGGCAAACACAAACACACAGATCTCTACAAGAAACAATTAGCAGTACATAATTGTTACACATATACAAACACGGAATGAAACTTTAGTGAGATGACACTGTCAGTTCACTAGTCTTCAGCCTGGCATTTTTTCTTACTTCATCAAATGAATAAGACTTCGTTACTACTCCGTTCTTAAACACCGTATGAAGAAGATCCTGCAAACACACATCATTTTCTTTCAGTTTCGGTAATACAGCATTTCATGCATCAAAATATCAAACTTGTTTGCATGGTTGAATATGGACCATGTAAAACAGTTCCTAATACACTGCATGTTGAGAGGCTGGCTACACATAACATTCTTTGTCTCCAAAACAATTAACAGATTGTTGGTTCTAAGGGCAGCATAGCTGTTGCCTCGCCAGTTTCAGAAGATTGAACATAGGGCTTTCCCAATGCAAAACATGTGTTCTTTCATTGCATAATATCCCTTCCTATACCCTGTTGACATTTCCAAATCTTTCTGAGAATTTTAGAGAAGATCATAATGAAAACATGCAGAAGTGCAGGAAGATAGACCAATACCCCTTCACTCATTTATGTGTGCTTATTATACTTGCATTCTGTCACTTTAATCCTAAAACAACCTTCTAATCTTGGTCAGATGGAGAGAGCGTGGCTGACCAAAAAGCACCAAATACATTTCATGGCTAGAATCTTTGCTCCTAGGTCATAGTCTAACAAAACTCAAACCAGTATCCCAACATTGGCTATTGCTTCTTCAGGAACAAATTCTAGAATTCAAGGGAGGGATAGTAAAGTAAATGAACCCCTAATGAAAGATGAGATAATCTGACCATGGCTACGTTTTGATGTTATGAATGGAATTGTGTAGTTAAGCTATCAGGCACATTTAGCAGACCCCTCTGGAAGTATAGTCAGACTTGGCAAAATAAGAAGCTACTAATTTACATAACTCCTGATATAAATGCTTCTTTCACCCTGTATTAAAAAGGAATTATTATTATTATTAATAATAATAATTTTTATTTGTATCCCGCTTTTTTCTTCTTAAAAAAACCTCAAAGTCGCTCACGATAAAACAAATAAAATCCAATGTATTGTCAAAGGCTTTCATGGCCGGAATCACTGGGTTGTTGTAGGTTTTTTCGGGCTGTATGGCTATGGTCTAGAGGCATTCTCTCCTGACGTTTCGCCTGCATCTATGGCAAGCATCCTCAGAGGTAGTGAGGTCTGTTGGAACTAGGAAAAAGGGTTTATATATCTGTGGAATGACCAGGGTGAGACAAAGGACTCTTGTCTGCTGGAGCTAGGTGTGAATGTTTCAACTGACCACCTTGATTAGCATACAATGGCCTGACTGTGCCTGGAGCAAACTTTTGTTGAGAGGTAATTAGATGTCCTTGTTTGTTTCCTCTCTGTTGTTGTGCTGTTGTAATTTTAGAGTTTTTTAATACTGGTAGACAGATTTTGTTCATTTTCATGGTTTCCTCCTTTCTGTTGAAATTGTCCACATGCTTGTGGATTTCAATGGCTTCTCTGTGTAGTCTGACATGGTGGTTGTGAGAGTGGTCCAGCATTTCTGTGTTCTCAAATAAAATGCTGTGTCTCTAAAATTGCAACAGCACACAGAGGAAGCAGGCAGGGCCATCTACAACAAAAGTTTGCTCCAGGCACAGTCAGCCCATTGTATGCTAATCAAGGTGGTCAGTTGAAACATTCACACCTAGCTCCAGCAGACAAGAGTCCTTTGTCTCACCCTGGTCATTCCACAGATATATAAACCCTTTTTCCTAGTTCCAACAGACCTCACTACCTCTGAGGATGCTTGCCATAGATGCAGGCAAAACATCAGGAGAGAATGCCTCTAGACCATGGCCATACAGCCCAAAAAACCTACAACAACCCAAATAAAATCCAATTAAAACCTAAAAATATACAATCATTAAAATAGAACTAAACATGAACAGCATTAAAAATAACCGTTAAAATTAACTACATATCTTAGAACTTTATAACTATCAGGTGAATGCACGGACAGCTACAGCTGAAAACTAGTACATCAACTGTGTTTTTGAGTAACAGTCACATCATTTTCTGCAGCTGGTAGTTCACAGCTGCAAATTATAACTTTGTGTTATGAGCAGAGAATCACCTAGGTGTTGATCACCCCATGTATTTTACAAGTCATTTATATTACAAGTGCAGGGTTGGTCTGAGATGCATTCAAACATAAGGCTTGCAAATTATGAACATCAGATCATTTGTACAAGTGTGACATTAACGTGCCGAAAAGTACAGGTGTTATGGTCTATAGCCCATATTTCTTCACTTCCAAAAGTGAAGAGACGTGACAAAACTAGGTATGGAATTGTCAGACCTGACATTTGTCTCAGGTTACACAGTTCACATACCATATTTCTTCAACTGTCAAGATGCCACTAACTGTCAGAAGCACACTAATTTCAATACTACCACCACCACCACCAATAAAAACACTTAATATATACCTGAAATACTAAGACAAACCCCATTTTTAGGAATATTTATATAGGGGAAAAAGTAAGTCTTAGAACGGAAGAAATACAGTATTTGTTAACAGGTCAGTATATTGTTGAATTTTTTGATACAGATACAACAAGATTACCAAACACTAGAGGATATTTGAGATAAGTAATGTTTATAAAGCAGTCAATTAATAACAAACTTAAATTGTAGAATAAGTAAATCAGGAGTCTTAAAGCAATGTGTACAACATGCTGCAAAATGATTTATTTCATAAAAGAATTTAAAAGACTGCAATCAATGGAATTTATATTTGATTATTTCCCTATTCTCTACATGATGCAGAATTACCTGTAACTAGACCAGGCATAAGTAAACAAAGGCCCGCAGATGCAGCCTTCTGGGCGCTTATGTCTGCCCTCTCCTCATCTTCCCTGTCTTCTGGCATAAGGACGTAGTGGGCCACTGCGTCCTTAATGCTGAAAGGATGGGGAGGAAGGCACGTGGCAGCTGGAAACCCTCTGGAGCTCTCTTAGCTGTCACATGCCTTCCCGGGACCCTCCTCCAAGGCGCACTGAGCTGCCACTTGCCGTGGGGAGGATGGGCCGCTGCCGAGAGCTCTCCAGAGAGCCCTTGGCAGTGGCCTATCTCCTCTCAGACTGTTCCCAGGCTGAGAGGAGGACCCTTCCCCCCCCAGGCACCAACCACCATTGTGCCACCCCATCCTGCACTGACTATCCTCAGCCTCCCCTTGCCCCTTTCAGGTCTGCCCGCCCCCGCTTCAGTCTGCAATGCATCCCCCACCCAAAAAAGTTTGCAAATGCCTGGATTAGATTTCTAGTTCTTTGATTCATGTGCAGAGGGAGTTAAGGCCCATACACTCTGCCCTCAGAGTCTCAGGTCAGGACTGCAGGACTCTGCAGAAAATGCTTTAGCTGTACCCCATTAAAAGAAAAATTGCCTGTTTAGCAGGCCTTGCAAATGCTAATGTCTTATCAGTAAATGTTTGGCTTTTATACACATTTTATATCCCTATGTACTTGGGGCCATGTAAACATTTATTGGGCCAAAATGGTCCCGAGTGGAAAAAATTAAGAAACCCTTCTCTATGCAAGCTCCAAATGCCAAGGGTTTCCTGCCTACTCTTCACCATTACCTACATGGGTGATAGTGAAAGAGAATGAAAGTGTTTGTTGGTGCCTGGTCTCATCCAGTATTGATTTACCATCAACTTTCCTGTTCATGTGACTACCTCTATGCACTTCTCAACCACAAAAAGGTTGCCTACCTCAGCTCTGAAATGTCATAGTAAGGGAAAAAAATCTGTCTCACACTAACTAGAATAGGAATTAGAGTCTTTACCTGTCCATATTCTTCAAGATCTCCCTTGCCTTCTTCTAGTGTGACAAAGTCTCCATTTGGTGTTCTGTGTAAGGATAACCTGCCTTTCTTTGATCTTTTGTTAGGATCAGCTACAGGATCTTTGAAGACATTTACCTGAAATTCAAAATGAAAAAAGCACTGTGTGTAACAGATTTCTCTCCTATAAAAATTAGCTCAGAGGTCCTAAGAAGTGAAACCAACCCCCCCACCTGCCCCCCCCCCCAGTTTAAAAGCTCTACATTTGGGGGGGAAACATACCCCAAGGCCATTTGTGACCACGTAACTGCATTTGAAGGAGCAATTCAGGAGATCTCTGGTCAGCTTTTGCAATAAAGCTCCACCTGACCCAAAGGCAATATTTTCAATACTCCACTTCTCTTTTTTCATTCCTTCCACCATCTGAAAATGACAGAAAGCATTTTAGGAGTTTACTTATAATGATGTTCTTTGACAGACACATATATTATACAGGAATGTAATTTTTAAGATTATTTAAGAGTACTGTATATGCTTATGTTAAGTCCAGAAATTTTGGTCAAAAATCCACCAAACAATGGGCTGACTTATCCACGAATCAAGGTAACTACTGTGTCTTAACTCTTATAAAAAATGAACCACCTCTGATTAAAGTGCTGTACCAGAAAAACCTAAAAGAAGCACCAACTCCCTCTACTCTCTCCACCACCACACCACTTCTGACCTTTCTGAATGCCTAGGAGGGAAAACAGCAGTGGCAACAACCAGGAGTGACTGGCCCACTGAGAAGGCATTGCTGCTTTTCTCTCTCTGAGGAATGACCGTCAGCCTAAGCACAGGTCATACCAACATCCATAATTTTGCCCCGCCCCCCAACCTACCCTTGACTTAAAACGTGATATCCACTTATAAATTAGTATATGGAGTAGTTGGTATTTAACATTTGTGTGACTTCTTTAAAAATAATCTAAAATAGCTACTGAAATCCTCCATCATGCAATCTGTATATTAAAAAATGCTTTCCATATGCCAAGTAATATCTAGCTAGCTAACAGCAATATTCATACAGAACAGATCTGTGCATTTCAGTCATGTATTATTACTAATTCTGGTGCAGACAATGGAGTTGTTTACACCTATCACTCATAACCAACCTTCCTCATTTATGCAACTGCCCCAGTTCACCCCACAACCAGAAAAATGGCTCACCCTAACTCTAGAGAGTCACAGCAAAACAGAAATGTTTCTTAAAACAGATATTAAGTTCAATCTCTATTCAATTTTGAACAAATGTTGGAATACAACAGGGGGAGCAGAAGACATTTCCATCTTGTCTTCTGCCTATATAATCAGTTGGGAGCCCCCCCCCTGCCCCCGGCACCAACGGCTGCTCTGGCCAGAGTGAAGACAGAGGGGAGCAGAAGACAGTTCCATCTTGTCTTTACTAATAATATAATATCGTATATTGTATATACATATAATATTTATAATATTATAATGTAATACAATATAATACTAGTAATACTAATACAGTATTATAATTATAGTTATATATTTACATTACATGTAATATTACTAATAATATTACAATATAATGGTATAGTGCAATATAGTAATATATAATACTGATATTGTACTATGTTAATAATATATTGTATGAAAATATATCTTGTAAGCTGCTCTGAGTCCCCATCCAGTTGTATTTACTTCTAACCAAGTCTCAGATTTTAATGGGAATTAAAACGCAACCTTATGTATGCTTACTCAAAAGCAAGCCCAGTGGTTTCTATAAGATTATCTCCCAGATAAGTGTGTATATTACAACACTAATTTGAAGCTAATGTATTTATGTTCCCCAAACACACCAGGTTATTATCACTGTGTTTGTTCCTTGGATTCTTGTCCATATGGATAATTTTAATATGTGTAGTATATTAATGCAATAAATCTGGGAAGAATTATTGTCTTGATTAGAGTAAATGTTGATCAAAATATCTGTACTTGTCGATTTACACATTATATGTTTCACACAAGCACAAATTTATGGGAAAGAATTCAAATCAAGAACAGGCACAGATAGCAGTTATCAAGTTATTAAGACATTGCAGATTTTCATGGGGAAGGGGTAGAAATAAAAGACTATCTCAAACCTTTAACAGAACCTGTTTTCAGGTGCAACCGCTAGGAATAATTTCAATGATGTTAAGCACTCTTTCCCAACAACTCATTTAACTACTACTTCGATCACTCACTGAAATCGCCACTGACATGTTAACAAAAAAGCCCCACCTCTTGCAACGTGTTGATATCTACACCATCTCCTTGAATAATTCTGAGGTAAGGAGGCAACACTTTATAGCCTTTTGCATTTTCTGTGATGGGGAACTTCTTTCCTAAAATGTCCAAAACCTGAAAATATCAAAGTTAAAAAACAATATTAACCATTGCTCTCCTGCATAAGCCAGATCAAGCACACAAATTACATGAGTCGACTCATAGACAAAGTTGTATCTTTATACTATCTATAGAACAAAACCCCTAAGGGAGCCTGAGCCTAAATCCAATGTAATATTAGTAGAGGTGAACAGTGCAATAGTGGAGATCTACTGGTTTTCAGTTGTGGAAGTAATAATGAATTTTGTCATGTGGCCCTGGGGATATCACTGTTTGTGCAAAAGGCTGCACAACTAAAAATTGCATTGGGTCCCCCATTTGTGAGTGCTCTGGAATTAGGTGTCTGCACATGCAAGATCCTTTATGATACTGTAGGACGGGCCAGCACTATCTGTGGTCCTCCAGGTATTTTGAACTTCAGCTCCCAGAATTCCTGACCGTTGGCCAAGCTGTAAGCGAAGGCTGACCTTTGTGCCCCCATTTTAAAAATTCAAAATTCTCTCATCTGCTCTAGAACATGGCAGCAATTTTGTTTCCTGTTCTCCCCCTACTGTGGCCCCAGGACAAATCTTTTTATGAAGCAAGAAGTGAATCGGAAGTAAATAAAAACACAGGTGCATATTCCAGGTCTAAATGTGTATGCCTTCCCAAAATAGGAAACTCCAAGCATCACGTCCCAAATGCACTTTATTAGAGATTTAAGATTGTCTGCACACCGCACCTATCTCCAAAAACCTATTCATTTCACCTGTCATGCCCAGCATTTTTTTTAAATTTTTAATCATTACATTTGGCCCGGCCTTAGTTTTAAATGTATCATGGTGTTATTGTCTAATGTTTATTGCTATTGTTTTAATGTTTGTTGCTTGTTTTATGAGTTTATTTATTATTGTATTTGTTATGCTGTTGTTTTATTGATGTGTTGGGCCTCGGCCTCTTGTAAGCTGCACCGAGTCCTTCGGGAGATGTTAGGGGGGCATCAATAAAGGTTTATTGTTTTTTATTATTATTATTATTATTATTATTATTATTATTATTATTATTATTATTATTAAATGGACAGGGGAGCAAAAATAAATATGACCTCAGGGGATGTCATTTAACCAGTGCAAGGACACATTCCCTGTCCTTGCATTAGTTAAATGATACCATATTTGGACACTATATTGAACTACAGTTTGGAGGAAAACTTTGGAAAATGTTATATAGGTTTTGGCAAAGGACACCCTTCACACACTTGAGGTTGAGAAACTTGCTTAGATACAGCTGCCAATAAGTGTAGAAACCTCTTCCCTACTGAGCCAACATTACTTTGATCAAAAACTGAAGGTTTGCCTCTGAGCAGTGGATGAGGCCACACCTAAAAGTAACTGAAGTTATAGGTGGGAGTCTTACCTTTGTTCAAGACCTAATGAACAAAGGCATGTGCATATATTTTCTTTCTCCACCAGTAAGCTGAAACAGGGCTCATAAAAGGGCATGGCATGAGGAAACCCTGGTGTTCTATACTGAGTGGGTTAAAGGCCTATATTTTCCCCATGGATTTAAGATTTCCCATTCCTAATATGGACAGTACTGAACTGGAAGAATGAATGACTTCAATGTAAGACAGATTCCTATGTTTAGAAACCGAGACAAGGGTGAGATATTATTAAAGGTCAATGAAGATTTCAAAAGTGGACTGTCAGCACATGGAAATCTGCTGAATATTGGCTTTAAGATCACAGGCCACTGATTGAATTGTTAGACATACTTTGTGGAATGTGATCATCCAAAGGGTTCATGAGTATTAGTGTTCCTTCCTGCTCCCCTCAGAAACCTCTACAAGATCCAATGTTTACAATAATGCGATTGGAGGTAAAGGGAGGAATATGCTTTCACTTTGATGACATCCATATGTTACCTCCTACTGTGCCCTCTTTGATTTTTATTGCATTAAAAAAACTGATGTGAGCTGCTTTTACATCAGTTTTCAAAGAAATACACCTGTTAATTTATTTTCAGAAAGGTATTATAACACACAGCATCTGTCTACAGTAATCAGAGCCAATTTAAACAAACTAGACAAATTCATATTTGTCTGTGCAGGCAACTGTAGCTGAAACATTTGTGATTGTTTATCAAGCACTTCATTGTGCTGGTAAACAGAAATGAATAACGTTTACTGGCAAAGTGGAGGCAACATATAGACACGGGACAGGGTCGTCTCCCCCCCCCCCCCCAAATTCACTGGTCTGAATTATTTGAAGAAATGCAAGTTCCAAAAACTCAGGAAATATTCTGGACACTGCCATGCAAAATAATTTTAGTGAAAAAAAATAATACGTTGCATATTCCATGCATGTGCACTATAAGAAATCTACATTATGTAAACACAGCAGAAAAGAACACTGGCCAACACACATTTTGTTGCCTCAAATGTTAGTCCTTTTTCCAGGTATATTTGACCTGCAGATTCCAAATTTCCCCCCATCAGCTCTAAGTTTTAAGCTACAGAACATATGCCATCTAGCAGTCTTTATCTGCTCAGTCATGAAAAAGCATGGTAACAAATATATAAGAAACTAGACATGAAGCTGCTATCCAATGCTATTTTCTGAAACAGCACCCCAAATAATCCCAGAAACAGGCCTAAAGACAGAGAAACCAAGATTTGGGGGGGGGGAGGGGCACTTAGCTCACAGCATAATTTCACTTCATTAGCCATAATACTGGGAGTGGACAGATAGACAATAATCATCTTAAGAGCAGCTAAGTACAAAAAGGAGAATTAAATGTTGAGATGGGAAAATAGGTACAAATAAACACTGGCTGAGAGGTCGTAGGGACCACAGAGAAGGTAACTCCATCCTATGAGGGTGTGTGTGTGTGTGAATTATTCAATTTCTCCATCACCACAGCCTACCCCGTTTAGCAGTGTTCTCAACCTTCTGAGGTGCACCTTCTAGGGGACAGAAGAGCTACTTACAAGTATGACGTAGTCTGCACTGCCAACTCAGTTGCAGTGCCTAAATCTGGACTCAAAACTCTACACTGAAAAGCAAGATATCCTAAAGAATCTCATTAAAAAACTTTAAAATCTTGAGAGAATTTTAAAGCATTACCTTTAGCACAGTATCAAGAGGATTTCCTGAATCCGGCCTAATAATGAGCGGAGCTTCTGCACTTCTTGTTTCAATTAAATGCCTTAAATCTTCACCCCATAATTTTTCACAAGCGTTGTAAATGTCATAACTGTCACTGACCACAGATACAGGCACTGAAGAAAACTGTGTCACAATGTGTTCAAAAGCATCTCTTTCATGGTCTTTCCCCCAGGCTGTTATAGTACTGGAAGAACAGGAGATATTTATTAACCCAATAAATATGTGTGTGTGTCGGAAACACATGTGTTTTGAGAACATCATGTTTTCTTTTCAGCATATGTAACACCGCAAAAAGCAAAAATATTTTCTCATATACCATATTTACTTAAGTATAATGCACCATTGAATGTAACGCACACCTCAGATTTAAAGGTGTGCATTACAAAAAAAAAAAAGATTTGGCGTTGAAAATAATGTTGGTGGCCACGAAAATGCTGGGGGAAAGCTGAACCCCTCCATCAGGCTTGATGGGAAGCTGGTGATGGTCATGAAAAGCCTACTAGGAAGCCACATATAAAACCGACCTGCTCTGTTGGGCAAGAGATCCCTGCTGCGGACAGAGGAGGGAGAGGTGGCTGTGACACAAAAAAAAATAAAATAAAATAATAATAGTGGGAAACTGCACCCCTATGCCGGCTTCTGCACCCCTATCACCAGGCTTCACAGAGGGGCACAACTTCCCACCAAACTTTTTTAAAAATGATTTTTATTAAGGGTTTTCTAGGGGGTACATCGAGAGGGTGTTAATCATCGACATATCTTAAATTAAAAGAAGAGTAATCAAGGTCAACTTCCCACCAAACTTTTTGGGGCCACCGTCACCTCTTCTTCCTCCATCCCCAGCTAGAATCTCTTGCCCAATGATGCATGTGGGTTTAGGTTTGCAATTCTAACGTCCATTAAATCGAATGCGCACCTCAATTTTTGCAAAAAAAGAAAGAAAAAAGTGTGCATTAGACTGGAGTAAATACAGTAGCCTGACTTTCCCTTTACATCAAGTCCAAACCCTTTTGGTGCCACTGCCACTTTTGTCTTTGAGAAAAGGGTGCGCGTTACAGGAAAAAGGAAAGGACTGAAGGGGAAGGAGTCCAGGTCCTGCAACTTGACTTACACAATGTTCCTGCAAAAAGCAGGTGTCAGCGAAGGGAAAACTCCAAATGCCTCTGGCTGCCATGAACTTGAGGGATGTTGGAAAGCTCCAGCTGCCTGTCCAGTCCGTGTCTTGCTCCTCTTCTGCTTGCCTAATGGTAGTACACTGAAGGGTAGGCTCCATGAAAACAGGGTGCGAAGGGCATAGATTGGCCAGGCAGCAGGAACTTTCCATCATTCCCAAAGTCTGAAGCAACTAGAGGCATCTGCACTTTTCTCTCCCATGCTGTTTACTTCTTACAAGAGCTTTGTGTAAATCAAGCTGAAAGACTTTGGAGTACTTTCCCCCTCCCTTCAAATTTCTAACAGTGATGGAACAAGAGTTCCTTGAGGAAAAACTCCGCTCCCGTTACTGCCTATTCCGCAATTACTATGTAAACATAAATATTCTAACCTCTTCTCCAAAATTCAAAAAACTTTGATTTCAAGCATTTCAAATAGGTGAGACTCAGCTTGTACAAATATAAGAAATTCTTATCTTTATACTACTGTTTGTCATCTATAAACTCTACATGGTAAATGTTAAATATTTACACAGTGCTTTCCTCTTATGAGACACTTTCCCCATCCATATTGATCTTCATTGCTTGTTTGGAAGTTTTGACTGCTCCCAAGATAGTGCAGGTATGTACTGGTATGAGTTATATCTAATAACTTTCACATTAAAAACTGACTGAATGCACGCATAGATGGATTCCAAATATGATTCACAGTTCAGTTGGAGAAGTAAAATGTGTGCAGTGTGTCCATCTCCGTGGTGTAATCAGGTTGCCCAGAAAAGATACCTTTATACTTAAGACTTCTTTGATTCAAAAACAATTCCAAGATAATATGTAAATTAACACACACACCACATACAAGTACATACCACAACAATAAAAAGAATCTCTGTGGAAAATTAAGATAATACATCTGTAGCTGTGATATTCATATCTACACTAGCAGAACAGTTAATTTCAATTTGATTTTAAACACAGGAAAAACAAAGGTACTACAAAGTGTTAGGGGATGATAAAGATACCTGTGCTCAGCAGCTGGGACAGAGTAGCCTGGGACAGGGTCTTTTGTTCCATAATATTTCTTGATTAAGCCAATTCCTGCTACTGTATCAGTGCCTTTGAAGTTCACCAAATGGGCAGAAGCTCCTATTCCCGCAGTCTAAGAACAAGACATGACTGTGAATTAACATAATGGCTATGACTAGAATGTCCCTGTTTTAATACACATATAACAGTGTTTCCTAGCATATAGGAAGCACTGCTTGAACACCAAGCACAAAGTAGCTGCACACAATAGCATCCTGCGAAAACTTACTGGCAGCACATGGGGTGCAGACCCAAAATTAATAAGAACATCAACTGCCGAGTATGCCTGCCCTGTTCGGCATAGGTTCACCTGCTCATGCAAAGCAGGTGAACATAGCATTGAATGAAACATGCAGAATAATCACAGGGTGTCTTAAACCTACACCTGTTGATAAACTCTACAAACTAGCTGGCATCCCCCCGCCGCCAATGTGCAATGGGAAGTTGTTGCTAAATGTGAGCGAAATAAGGTTGAACACTGTGAAAGCCACCCACCTCCTCCCAGTAGACTCAAATCAAAGAAAAGCTTTATGAGAACTACCACTCCTCTTGGCGTCCCTCCAGCAATAGCAAGGGTATCCCTCTGGGCAGCTAAATCAGGAAATCCCAACTAGATGCCCCCCCCCCCACCATGAGGGTCTTCCTCCAGGGGCAAATCAAGAATGGGCAACTTGGAAGTTCCTGAATAGACTCAGAAGCGGAGTGGGCAGATCAAAAGACAACCTAGCAAAATGGCACTACCTAAAAGAATCCCACACCTTGTGTGACTGTGGAGCAGAACAGACAACTCTGCATCTGTATGCTTGTCCATTGTGCCCTGCCTCATGTACAGAGGAAGAATTGRTGGAGGCTACAGACAARGCTGTTGCTGTTGCCTATTTTTGGTCAAAAGATATTTAGCRGCCTGCACACCTTCTATTTTTATCAGTTTTATACTAATTTATGCAATGCTTTTGATAATAAATAAATAAATAAATACACAATAACTTCAAAATGTGTAGTACTTTATCCAGTTTTAAAGTTAGTGTCTACAAGACAGTATAAATGAGATATGAGTGCCATACTATCATTTAGTGCATTTTAAGGTTATAAGAAAAAAGTGACATAGTATATGGCAGAGAAAGACAAGCTAATCTCTAGATGTTTTGGAAAACAACACCCAGAAATCCTGGCTGTGCTGCCTGGGGCTGATGAGAATTGTAGTCCAAAGCAATTGATAGCTGGCAAATTGCAATTTTTTGTAAATAGTATTCAAGGTTTATGAATTCCAATTTGAGAATTAACTTTAAGTGAAAATGACAGACACAGCAGCCAAAGGTTGTTCAATTTTTTTGTTTCCTACATATATATTATAGGCAGAGCTTGCATTACCTCTTGTGAAGAGACTCCTCTGTAACCAAAATCGTGTAGTTTGTACTCTAATCCTTCTAAACTGCCCGAGGTTTCTAAAAGGTATTTTGCCAAGATCTTCTTTTGTTCTCTGGAGTTTGTTGCTACTGTAATTGGATACCATGACTGAACAAGAATAGTCTGGAAAAAGACAAAATGTGTAATACATAAGATTTTCACCCTTGGTTTCAAGATATACTGTACATATTAAGAAAAAATAGAAATGTTACAAGGGGTACTAAAATCCAATTTGTTGTTGCCTTGAAGTCTGGTCCAACTAAAGCAAACTTATTGTGGAGTTTCCTTGGCAAGATCTGTTCAGAAGTGGTTTCCTATCTCCTTCCTCTGTGTCTGATTTGCCCAAGGCCAACCTGGGAGGTTCTGTGACTGAATAGGGATTAGGATCCTGATCTTCCAGAATCTTAGTCTGGTACTCAAGTGACTACACAATAATGGGTCATGTGACCCTCAGCGCAGTAATGAAATTAGGCTTGGCAAGTGATATATATGTATGCATACAGGTTGGATTATTCGGAAATATAAGAGCCATTCTGGCCAGACCGAATTCTCTCTATTCCAGAATCACGTTTACACTCTGATCAACCAGAACTTAGAAGAAAGCCTGTCTTTTTTTTGCAGTAGCTGAGTCAATGTATTTCTCAAGGGATGTACCAGAATGTCAAGTCCCTTTACTAGCCATCCATTGCCAATTCAGACATCAGCATATAAGTGAAATGGGCAGCTCAGAAAGTGGGTAGGTTGGCCAATTGTGCATCATTTTACAGGGACTAGGATCTATATGCTCTTACACGCATGCAATCTCCAGCACCCTGCTTTAAAGGTTTTTCAGGCCAATTTACTTATATTTTAAACTTACTGCAGAAATCTGCCCATTGTAGTAGAGCTAGGGAATACAAGGCCCATGGTTTAAATTTGGCTCATCCACATAATTTTATGTTTCTATGAGACTTTCACTATCAGAGCAACATAGTTACAAAAATAGTCTTATAATTACATATGGCCCTTTGAAAGCCAATATGGGCCTTGGTGAAAATGAGTTTGACACCTCTAAGCAAGGGGAAAAGTGTGTTATAAAGAGGAGAAGGAACAACAACAGAAAACTGGCAGCATAACTAATGAGGATCTAGGTACTAGTTGTGTTCCTACTTTCCCTTTGTCATGGATAAAATGGATGACAGAAATTGATCAAGATAACAAACTGTTAACAAAAGATCCCCTTTGGCCAGAAACAAATGATTCATAAGTTCACAGCAAATACATTTATGAAATCTAAGCATTAACATAAACATAGAAACACTTTCTTCACTACAATTTCCTATTAACACACAGCAGATCCTGACAGATCACATTATGGCTGCATCCAGGATTTTTTTTACTGATACTTCAAAGACAGGAGGGGACAACTGTCAGAGAGCCACACTGATTCTCTAGGAGAACTTGTGAATGCCATACCTATCCTTGAGCTATCAGCACTGCAGCCACCTTTGAACCACCTGCCCTGCAATAAATAAATAAATAATCTTGACTTCTAGGGCACGACTTCTGCTTCACTTCCACTTAGAGAAAGAGAAGAAGGAAGAGACAAGTGGAACTGCTGGAGACAACTGAAGGTGGGAAGACGGCGAGAAATGCACCTCAGCATATCCTAGCGTAGAATAAGCACCAACCTGTTCTACTCTCCTTACCAAGGCAGGAAAGCATTAAAGAGACACCACTGTTGCATTCATAAAGGCCAGAAGTAGCACAACAGCAGGAAAAATAGAGGGGATCCATGTTTCTTTTAGATTTGCCCAGGATGGACTAATCCCTTGCCTTTTGCTTCTGTACTTCTTTTTTTAAGAATTGATACTGTACCTTAACTTTTATACATAGAAAAAAAAACCAAACCCTTTTCAGTAGAGTGGGAAGAGGCCTTCTAAATGCCTGGGCAGGAAAATGTCAGTCCTGAGACTTAAGCTTCTCCACAGAATGGCTCTGAAAAGCCCTGTGCAGAGCTCCAGATTTTTATCTTCGACTTACCCAGGCTCATACAAAAAATTGTAATTTTGGCCCCAAACCTGACCTCAATTTATACATATATCAGAAATACATACGGTAAAGTCAACCAACTGAATATACAAGCTGTGTTGGATACACTGGAGCAAGAATGGAAGAGACCCCAGCATAACACTCAGTGATTTTTGATGGTAAAAATAAATTCAATCTAAAAGCATACAACCATAGTACTATAGCTATTACTCACATTCCATTATGCATTTCTAGAATTTGTTTATTTAAGAGGTTAAAATTGAATTGTTTAAAAACAGTTTGAAATGCATGATAGGTCATATAGGGAATGGTTGACAATCATTTAGGAAATTCTCAGTCATACAGAAACAACTCTATTTATTTACCTCAATCCAGTTTGTAAGCCAATAACAGTCTGGATCAGTGTTTTCAACAGTAAAGAGTACATTTCCTCTGGGAATGACAGCACCCTCAGGAACAGCCTTTATTTCGATGGGAAGACACCCTTCGTATTTCTGTTATACAAATAGAAATCCACAATAATAATTTATAAAACAACTACATATTTTTAGTTCATGATATGAAGAACATGTTTACCTTCAAGTAATATATTTATCAGGCAGTCTACTTCAAGTGAAAGTTACTCAAAGTCTTTCCACCAAACACCCCGGCTTGACGATAAAAAAAAACCTAAAGATACACTCAAGGACACAAATACAGCTCATTTTTTTCCTCCCTCTTCTTCTGGATACACACTTTAATATAATTAGCAAGGTTCAACTCGCATTCAGTAGGGGGATGCAAAGTGATGCCTCTCCCTTTGAGAGCAAAATGATGATATGACAAGAGTTTAAGGCAGTGCTGTTTGATTGTAGACTAAGCTTCCTTATAAAAGCATGAACAGATACTAACCCATCAGAATTATTTTTCAAATTATGATTGCAGCTTCAATTGGCATGGTCAATAAACTTGACCTGAGCTTGGAGCTTTCCTTTCTTCTCTTAACCACTAACTTCTGTATCTGACTGGATTACTGGAAAGCTCACACCACTTATGCCCTACTTTTGCAATATGTTAGTGATCATAATAAAGATACTGCCCAACCTTAATATTGTTTTTTATACTATCAGATGTGCATTACCAAAAGATATTTACTCATAGAACAAATATTATGAAAGTTCTTCTCAAATGTGTCTTTATTTGCTATACTGTATGGTAATTCATTCAGTAAACCCATCTTTCATAGATTTGCAAAAACTCTTACCTGAAAAATGGTTTTTATTAAGGTATTAATTTAAAAATATCATAGTAACAACAGTTAGACCTATCAAACTGAACAAAAGAAATTAAGCACTTATTAACTACATCTTGCAAAAATGCACAGTAACTTTGTATAGTATTACAAATACACCTATTCAAAAGGTGGGGCAATTATTTATTTATTTATTTATTTACTTCATTTGTATACCGCTCTTCTCAGCCCTTAGGCGACTCAGAGCGGTTAACAACAGTTTCAGTATACACAATACAAAATCATTGGGCATTTAAAAGCAATAGCATCACAAATCATTAAACATCAGCATCAATACATCAGTACATCAATATAACAAACCCATCAGGTCTCATTGATGAAATCGGAATCCAAACTCATTATCCATTATTCCGCAAGGAGTCAGTGCTATTTTAAACTAATATTAATAAAAATTTCTTCACCTCAAGAATGTAGTTCCATCCTGTTTCATTGAAGACATCATCTTGAAAATGTTCCTTGTATACTTCTTTGGCTTCCTGAATTTTTTCTTTGGTAACCACTTTACCTATGACAAAAAACAAATATGCTGGTTGGGTGATGTAAACATAATAAATAGTTAAATTAAGAATGCCTTCTGAAACTGGTGCATAGGACATGATCATTCATAATTTTATAGTTATATTGGGATGAGGACGCTGACTAATTTATGTCATGATTACTGACCAGTGCTGTTTTGTTTTCATTTTGTTACTAACTCAGGTTGCAACTGGAAATATCTTAGTGATTACAGTGTTTACATAAAAAATACATTGGTGGCATATATTCTGATCCTCAACACTACTTGATTCAAATCAGACCAGCCAATCAACATGAAAATGATTTAAGGATACATGGCAACAACGAGGTTATTGCTCCAGATCAAGCCACCTAGAGGAATCAATCATTGTTTTTGCATTTGGGAAAGAGTGAATTAGATGGCTCCATACTTTATCTCTGTAAAAGTATTCTATTTAATGTTCTACAGAACAACCTGTATCCAAATTATAATTGTCCACTTTATATAGCTTTCTCTGACTTGGTACAATGAGGACAGGCAAATACATAGTTGAATTTATTTCCTTCCAAATTATACAAGGCGGTTAAGAGGAAAATAATAAAAACAGGTAAGTAAATAAAAATAAAGATGACAATAACAGAAGCTGGAACACACCATGACATTTACAATGAGTATTAACAGTCAGCATATGAAACAAAAGACCTGGCTACATAAAATGGCTTTGCCTGCTGGCAGAAAGGAACTTGTTTGGTGTTCCTTGGTAATGAGTTCCAGAGCTTAGAAGAAAGGATGAAGAAAAGCTCTTTCAGATACTTGCCAAATAAAGGACAGATCTTCAGATGTAGAGATAGTTCAATACCTTGAAATTTGGGCAGATTTGTTAGGGTTTTTAGTTAGCTGATCTGATGTTATGATGGTCTTTTAAGATCATAATTTGAACTTTCAGTTGTACATAGAAATGGGTGGACAATCCGTGAGAGTGTTACCTAGCTCCAAAGTAATGAAAACATGAAGTTTCTAAATACTGTTCAAAGACAGCATTACCATCATGCAAATGTAATTAAGACGAGTCACTGTTGAAGTGAATATTGTTTTAATATATTGTATATGACAAGTGTCTATAACAAAATTAAGAATTATAAAACGGCATTTGTGTCCAGATCTGGCATAAGCAGGCTCCGTTTTCCTGACACTGTTTTCAAATGAATCTTATGAGTAAAATTGACCACTGATCTCAAGTTTTCAAAATAGTGCAGTTTCATTCAACAAATCAGACTGAATCTTTATCTGATTTTCTACTAACTAGGGATATCTCTGCCTAGGTCTGGACTAAGATGTAATTTGTTTGTCTTTATTTATTTATTACCAATATTAGATCTGACTCAACTTCAAGAGCATTGCTGGAATCAGATGGAAAAGATGTACAGTCAGGTGTCAACAACATCTTAATTACAAAATTCTTGATGGCACTACCTGCAGATGTAAAAAAAAAAAATCGGACATTTATATCCCGTCTTATCTCAACCTCCGCAGAGGGATTCAGGGCGGCTAAAAAACAAACAAACAAGGGGGACAAGATGTATCCCTATGGGAAAACTTAAAAGCCAAAGATAGGCAGTCTATTCTCCAGAGGTTTGGCACTGTGACAAATCATATCAAAAGCTGCACACAGTATAATCAAAATCAAAAGGGAATTACCCGCCCATTTACAGGCAGATATGATTCATTAAGATGGCCAAAAGTCATCACCATCTCGTGACAAGGCCTGACAATTTATTAATTATAGATTCTGCTGCCTCATCCAGGAATGAGCTAACATTTATTCCTTCGCCAAGAGTCCAGGAAATACTTAGACACCTCGACTAAGGGTGCATTTACACTGCAGAAGTAATGCCATTTTACAGCACTTCGACTGCAAAGTCACAATGTTTTGGAATCATGGGAGTTGTAGCCTTACAAGGTTTTTAAGCCTTCTCAAAGAGTGCTGGCGCCTCGTCAAAGTACAATTCCTAGGCTTCCATAGCATTCAGACATGGCTGCTAAAGTGGGGTGAAATTGCATTAACTCTACAGTACAGATGCATCCAAAGAGCTGGATATTAGAAAATGGCCAGAAATTATGAATTTGCTGGAGCTCGGGAAAAAATTATTACTGGGTTTATCAGTCTCCCACATCAGGTGCTGTACCATCAAAGCCTCCCAAATGCCAGAGTAAATTGAAACTGTCAACCATCAGCATCATAATTTATTTAAAGGAACCATAACTGATAAGCAATTTTTTAAAAAACCACACACTGCCATAATTTTTTTAATCACTTGAGTCACTATAGAATTCATTCTGCTATTGATCTTAGCATATGCTAGTTTGAAGAAGCGGAATAAATATTTTGAACCCATGGAAAACAAAAATAATAATTTTGCCTCATTTGGTTAGTCCAAATGTTTCTCAGTATCTGAACAGAGATAAACAATTCACTTGAAGGCAAACAGCAATATCTTAAACATACAAAGCATATGCTGTACACAACTTAATATATCTAGAATTTAAGAAAAGGTGACCAGATTCCTACTGAAACTGGAGGGACTGGCTTGCCCGACTACATAGCAAGATGGACTGTTTATCTGTTAGAAGACTAAAGCAGCTTTTATGCATAACGTATCTGGACATAGATCATGGGCATGTGGAAGTAATTAATTCTGAAGTTAAAACAGTTTCAGAAAACACTACCATTTGGTTTTGTTTTATCCTTAACTGGATTAAAACATTCAAAAAGCTATTCATATTCCAAAGAATTTTGTGGAAGAAAGTTGAGAAATTACCATTTAAGTGAAAGTATATTTAAAATTCTAGGATGAAATACCTTTTAAGTATTTATTAAGAATGTACTGCAACCCGTAAAAAACAGTTTCCTCATATTTCACCTTCCTAAATTTTGAGTTCTCCGTCTTCTTTTCACGGCATTCAAAGTAGGAATAAACTTTGCTTGTGTTGGGTGGATACTGTTTATAATGTGTCACCTACAAATAAGAAAAGTGCTGGTAAGTGAACATTTCACCACATGTAAAAAAAAATACTCAAAATAAATTATGATTGTGTCACATGCATTCTAGCAAGAATCAGCGTCATCCTTTAACCTGCAACCGGATGTTTCTCAACTTTTTCTGAATTTGAACAAGAGGGAGCATTTTATCTACTCCAGAAATATTGCTCCCCAGCCTTACTCCTGTATTATTTCCCCCTTTTGCAATGCTTACTGAATTTTTTTTCACAACTGAGAAATGAAACTGAGCAGGATTTTGAACAAATGGGCTTTTACAGATGTGTGACTGTTTCAGAAATCTGCTGCATGTCTATGAGCCATACAGCAAGGTTTCCTTGAAGCACATACCACAAAGAAACACATTTTCCTTGTGGTTCATTATTTTGATGAACCACTCATCAAACTGCTCTGAGTCCCCTTTGGGGTGAGAGAGAGCGGGATATAAATGTAGTAGTAAAGTAAATGTCCACAGCAGCCACCACCAATAACTACAATCATGTATTTCTAATCCGGACTCTTATTTATTATTACTATTTAAACATTTATATTCCGTCCTCATCCCAAAGGGGACTGAGGGCAGAGCACAACATATAAACGGCAAACATTCAATGCCTATATGCTTCCAGTCCAACCTATCTTCAAGATCGCATCTCCTTCTACGAACTGGTACAGGCATTCAGATCTTCTGGGGTGGCCCTTCTTTCGTTCCCACCACCGTCTCAAGCATGGTTGGTGGGGATGAGAGAGAGGGCCTTCTTGGTGGTGGCTCCCCGGCTCTGTAATACCCTCCCTAAAGAAATTAGATTAGCCCCTTCTCTTCAAGCCTTCCAGGTAAGTCTAAAAACATGGCTCTTCAGACAGGCCTTTGATCTCGAGTAATCCATGGCCAATGTGATGAATCATTGATAGTACTGGCCTGCACTTTGATTTTTTGAGATTTTATTATTAAAAAAATTGCGTGCTTTTGATTGTACTTGTGTCATTGTGGTTGGGCTTATGTATTGTTGTCTGAGTGTGGCATTTGGAATGCTTCTGTGAGCCTCCCTGAGTCCTCTTGGGGGGATGGTGGCGGGGTACAAATAAAGATTTATTAGTAATATTATTATTATTATCACTATACACATATATAAACATTAAAATCACTTATCTCAGTGTCAAAATCCTTTGTTTAAAACTGTCTCAAAAATCCATATCAAATATGGTTGGCATACTAAGATGTCTTAAAAGTCTACAAAGTTTTGTTTTTGTCTGTAAAAACATTCCATTGTCCGTATGCTGTCAATATTAAATGGCAGTATTACACAAATGGCATATATAATTAAATAACAATTAAATTTGACATGTTATGTAATAGTGATGATGTAGTTAGTGAGGACAGGGGCACAATTAACAACACTATTAGCATTACCCACAAGATCTTAGGGAAAAGCAAGATTTTGCTTGATCCCTTTATCAAGACAATTTTCGAAAACTAAAGCTAGTAAATTTCTATTGGCTTACACTCCTAAAAGAAATTCAATACCATGTCAACAAAAATGGGATTATTTTACACACTGTACATTCACTTGATAACATCTCTTCAGGGGAAAATCCCTCATTTCATTTTAAAATATGTACTTCTGACATTTAAGACAAAAGCATTCCATTTTTCCCTTACCTGAAAAACTAAAGCTGTAGATTAAAAGATTTTTTAAAGTCAAATGTCCTTTCCACCACTTATGCTTTTTATTTTTGCATTTCTTTCAGCTTGGGCAATGAATTAGACTGATCAGTTTCACTCCCTGTTTCTGATACACCAGCACAATGCTGTAGTGTTTGGATTTCGAACACTGCAAGGGAATGTTTGATAAGGGTAAAAATAAAATGAGTGAAAATATTTTCAGTCAAGGTTTTTAGGTTTAAAAAATCCTAACCTGTGCGCTAAATGTGTGACAGTGTGCAAACATCTTCATAATGTCACATTACTAAGCTATTCTTAAATTAATTAATTTTGTATTCTTCCTTAAGCCACCTTGAGGGTTTGAATTAGACTAAAACACAAGGTCCATTTGCCTGAATAAATGGAGATAGTAAAGATGGTTGCTCTAATTCTGTTCCACTATCTTCATTGATAGCATGTACAAAACTATCAGATGCTAAATTTCAAACAAGATGCCAACACAGTAAATGCCAGCAATTAGCATAAGTGCTCCAAAAAGAGACCAGTGGAGCCTAACAAAGAAAAGACAAACCACACTCTTTTTGGTCCATGATTTGACCAAATGTTTTACTCCATCTTTTATACATTCCACATTATCAAGTCTTTATCACTTGTTTAATGATATATTTCAACTTATTTTCAAACCTATAATCATGCAACTTATTAAAAATGAAACAATAATCTACTAGCATATCATATTCTGTTTCTAATCTGATGAAAGTGCCTAAACTGAAGACCTTTAATTATTAAGTCATCTTTTCTTGTTTGCCACATTCTATACTTATGTTAAAAACTGAACTCCCATGCAAGGTATTTCGCTTTGGATACCAATTAAGATTTTAGTTTCCTTTTTTAAAAAAAAAATTGCTTATTGATACAACAGATACTATAATCACTTCAAGAGAATTCAGTTTGAAATGTGAAATATACTTTGGAAACTCTCCAACAATTAAACTCTAGCAGAGGTTCCCAACCTTTGGCCCTCCAGGCGTTTTGGACTTCTGCTCCCAGAATTCCTGATAGTTGGCCAAGTCAACGAGGCTTCTGGGAATTGGTTCTAAATACTTGGAGAACTAAAGGTTGGAAACTAACATATTAGGCAATGTATATGCAAAGTTTCTGAAACAGATTGGCATCCTCGTTGTTTAACCTGGATAATTTTTAAATGTAGAAATAACACAGATGCTTGACAAATCAAGGACTGGACACCTAATAAAGTCAACTTAAGATGAGGAAAAATAATTGAAAATTACTTCTCTTTTCATTCAATTTGCCATGCCATTGTTAGTACCATACAGCTTAGCAATGAGAATGGTCCATGCCAATGAGCTGGAGTAAACAATAAAATAGACTTTATCCACATTGGGAAATAAAACTTCAGTGTTCCCAGTGCTCACTATATTTATCAATTTTATGTGGTTCTTCTGCATGAAAATCCAGTTTTCCTATCACCAAAGTCACCACAATAATAGCTCTAAAGAGTTAGTAAGATGAACAAGGTTCTCACTAGTGCCCTTCAATTAAAATGTCAAGGTACTGTCCTAAGAATGCATTCTTATCTACTTTATTTTTTTAAAAAACCCATCATTCACAATTCTGCAAACTCTAGGCTTCATCTCTACATTATGGTTATATAAACCCCTTTGGTAAGTATTGGGAAGCTCCAGGTTGGGCAAAACTAAGAGAGATCATCTGCTAAACTGGGAAGAGACACCATTAATATAATATCAATTATAAACTCTAAAAAGGGCCAATTAATTTAAGACACGATGAAAGACTTTGGCTTTAAACTTCAAGGAGATGGAAACCTTAGCCAGCTAAAATTAACAACTGCTCTAGATGTTTGGTGAACAACACTAGCCATGCACAGAGCCTTGACAGGGATAGCTCATGTTCTGTGAATCTCTTTTTTTAAAGGTGTTTAAAGTATATTTTTAATTGTTAGAAACACTTAAACTTGGAAGTTCTTTTAAAGGCTAGGCAAGTTACAAAGTAGTCGCAAAGCACTCTTCTGTCCTTTTCCCTTCCTCCAAAAATTGCTTCTCAAATTAAAATTCAGATTCTTCAAAACAGAACTCCTGGTTTTTGATTTCCAAAATTATGCTCCAAGTGCTCCTATGTCTCACCATATTGACCACTCTGGATTTAGTTTGGAGGAGATTTGAAAAATGTCTAATGTTCCCAGAGATTTAGACTCTTCAAATGTGTGATATATCTTGAATAGCAGATAGATATGTGAAGTAAGGATGGTTCAATCTGCCTTGTTCGATTTCTGATGTGTTCTATCCCACTTCTATATTAATCTGTGATTTTGAGGAAAAAGGATCATGAGCCAATTCAGGTTTCACTCCAATATTTTAAATTTAATACATATATTAGACAATGTAACTCAAAGTGATTTCAAACTTTATTTTCTCTGAATGCATATATTGCGATAGGTGATGCTGTGTTTATTTAACCGAGAACTGTTGGAATATTCAGATATCACCAAAAACTACTGAATGTTTAAACTCCATTCAGTACTTTAGTCCAGAATATAGTGAACATTTGAAAAAGATCTATAATGGTATTCTAAGCATGAACACAGCATTTCAGTATGCTGCTTTCCTTCCATCCATCATTCATGGAGATGCTAATCTTTATGTCTGAACTAAGCTATTCCATTATAAATAAAATTACCAGTAGGTCCACTTTATAAACTTAGGCCAGTTTACTAGCACGTTTGCTTCAGAAGCCAGCATAGGGCACAGTGAAAGAGGAACACCAAGCAGATGTAACAGCCTTTGGTAAGCCTTACATTTAACAACTCACCTTAGTTGCCATAGGTAACCAAGACTTTCATGTGGTCCCTTTTCTACAACTTACTAGGGACACCCCCCCCCCCAACCTTTAGCCTGCTAAAAAGTTGAATGTCTGTATGTCTGGGAATACAGACATCTCTTCTGTGGTTAATCTGGAATTGTAGAGCACAAGTCCACCTGCAGGCTAATAATATTTTTTTGGAGGATAGTAATTTATGTAGGCCTCTTCATGAGGCTGGTCAAGAGGATGGCTTAAACAATGACTACTGGTAAAGCATAAGGGTCTTAGGTACTCAAACCTATTCCTACTTTCATCTGCCAAGTCATGATGTTTTAGACACTCTTTAAACCATCATGAGCACTGCCATTGTTCTGTAAATATCACAGCTCACGATAATCTCAAAATACAAAATTAGTAATGAATATGCAGTAAGTGCCATCACCGGTTATTTTTAAAAGTTGTTATTTTATAAAACA